AAGTATTTTATATTGGTATTCAATGCAATTTGCAAATCTAGGATTAATAAAACTGTCGTATTTAATCTTTGGAGCTGTGTCAAATTTTTATTAATTCCTAAGTATTAGGACACCCCTTATGATTCTATATTTTTTCGCCAAATTTAATGCCATACATTAGTAAAAATTTATGTAAAAAATGTGCTTACAAAAAACGTGAAAATATAAGTATACAAAAATGATTGAAATGTTTGCACACTTATTGTAATAAAATAATTTTATACCATAAATAATTGCAGTTGCTTTTCGTCTTCGTTACTTCAACACTTTTATATATTAAGTTATCCAGAAGAATGAATTTTTGTAAACAAGGAACATATTTAAAAAATTTCTGTTTAAAAAAAGAGGAATAATACAATTATACATTTCACATGCATTATTGCATTGGCAGAAAGAATTTCGTGACAGGCACACAGACTCCATTAAACCATCCAACTTTCCTCTGCATCATTTTTCTCTATTTTCGTTTAGAAAACAATTACATCTTGTCCCAGTTTTTAGCATAAGAAACTCTAATGTTCAGAGAGGGAGAAAGTGATATTTGGAGTTTCTGTATTCGAACATTTAAAATGGAATTAAACTTTTCTACATATTTCGGAAACCTGCGATACACATTTATTTATGAACAATATGTTTGTCAGTAATATTTTCGTTAATGTTACTTTTAACATATTTTCTTATCTGAATATGAAACATATAAAGAAGCAAGAAAATTTATTTCTGAAGTCGTTTCAATTCCGTTTTGTTTGTCATTTGCTTATGGTCATTTCCAACTTTAAATCATTGAAGTACACGTTGCAAAGAAATTTTCGACGTGTCAGGTTTCTCTCACTTTCGGTTGCCAAGATTCGTGATTCGGTCTTCTCCTCGTTCCACTTTCATTATCTCTCGTTCATTTCACATCGTCTACTCACAAGAGATGCGACACACGCCACGAAAGCTCAGTTGACCCTGCGTCCAAATACCGTAGCTACGATCTCTGCAAGGATGGAAAAAAAAGTACGCTTGCATCCGGACAAATGTGACATGCCCGATAAGATGTGCAATCAGATTGAGGATCGTGGTATTTTTCGTGTTGGACCAGTGTAAAATCATGTATAAAATATTGCATGTGTAAGGAGAGATTTTTGGAATAAAGATTTTTATTTATAAAGTAATATGTAGGGTGGGTCACGTGAAACAGGCAACATAATTATCTTCTCTGGCTATCTATGGTTGTACGAGAACATTTTTGTACGTAATTTAAATGGTTTCGAAGGGTGGAAAAGATGGAAGAAATGAAAGGAGATTTCACATTTGATTGAAAACTTCCAAGGTCCAAGGTCCAAGGTCATTTTCTCTAGCATATGAAATTTTATGAATTAGTGATACAAACTGCATGCAAATTTGCAAGTGACATAATAATGTAATAACAGAAGCATTGTTAAGACGTTGTGAAATTTTGAGACTGAGTGTCTTATACTACCGTGAATACTTTGACTACTTTGACTTTTTGATAGATTATTATAAATATTTTTCATTGGAAAAATGATTATGTAAGAAAAGTTAGGTATGCGAAGAAAAAAAAGGTTCGATGATATATTGCAGTTTAAATTTTGCATTTGATGCAAGGAATCATAAGAGTAAGGCGAAGTTCAATGTGCCGCGTAAGCTGAATAAAAAGGAGGCTAAGTTAATGTGCATCTCCTTGAAATAGAATAGAATTAATATATCTTCACTGCTGCACATCCTCATTTTTATTCATGTATGTTCTGCATAAGAAATATCTTCGAAAAGTATACATAGAAACAAAAGTAGGTATACTTTACAGTGTCGAGAACTGGAAACATTGGAATTTATTATTACGATATTAATATAAGCAAACATTTGTTTCTACCTATTTTTATCAAACATTTTTTAAACAATTTTAGACGAAAATGTTTCAATTTTTGTTCGGAAATTTTTACACGAAAATTGCGAGGAAGAAGTACAAAATATTATGAAAATTTTCAAGGAATAAGTACAAAGTATTACGACATTTACGAGAAAAAAGTGCAACGTATTAGGAAGATTGCGAAAAAATATCATTTCATTCATTTTTCTCCACGAATTTTTAACGCTTATTTATTCTTCTACTGCATATTTTTCTATATTTTTACTTGTTTGTTTATCTTCGTACGTTTATCTTCATTTGTAGCTCTCAGTTGTATGCAGTTTATTTAGTCAATTATTAGAATTGAAATAATGAACTGCTGGAAATATGCATTGTAATTACACGGCAATATTGTTATTCTGAACTAATCTGTCGGATCGTAAACCCGATTATGCTCTCGCCAGCAGTGTTACACAGTAAACCCTACGTCACTTTAATGGGATAGAGTTGATTCAATCTAAGTGAATATCTTAATATATAAACTAAATTGATAAACGATAAACAAACGAGTAAATATATAAAACTTCTAGCTTATACATTATTTTAAGTACAATAATGACAAAAATTATACAATATTATAAATTTACA